ATAATTTTTTGTCAATATCGCACACCCCTAGTTGTACCAGCAGTGGAGACAAAAAGACTAATTTCCATATAGAGAGTAAAAAAAAAAAGCATTTAGCATTACAATTAGCTGCTTGATTTTATTTATTATTATTTATTATTATTATTATTGGCATGTAGTTTCAGACTTTTGGACCCCGCTGTATATAAGATACTATGCATTTGGATGCAGTCCCCGTAATGCTGTCTAGGTAGGCAGCACAGTAGGTTTTGAGACACATCCAAATGCTTTATTAGTTATTTAGTCGGCCCTTTTTATCCAGAGTGCGGTTTAATGACTAAATTTAGGCTGTGTGTTTTCCAGATTACAATGGAAGCTAATTTCTTGTTGATTAATGCTCAGGTGCACTGTTTTAGTGAATAATTGAATGGGTACAGTCTGGCTCAGTGTCTGGGATCGTTCGGTGGCCTCAGGTGAGCGACTGAAAGAAGAGCGCTCTTTCTGTCTATCAGTTAATCATTTAACAAACTCTCATGCTGTGTGCGCAGCTGCAATGAGCACGGATCGCGTACAGCGTGTTTGCTGGGGATTTCAGGGATTATCATGGCCAGCCATAACTATCCGTTATGCTTGTGTTTTCATTTTACATCATATTTCTTTGAGAAGCATTATATATGAAAGTGTTGGTAATTATCAACTCTAGGGATTATTGCATGCTTGATAAATGCAAGTGTGAATGTCTTGAATGAGTGTGATGTTAGCAGTGTATTTGTGAGGAGAGTCTAGTTATCTGTCTTTAAATAAGTTGCAACCAGTTAGAAAGTTTATGTACACTTGTTTATAGACTTGCATTTATTTGCACTGCAGATAGGCAACATTATAGCATTATGCCGTACCAAGAATGCCACACTTTGCATGAACTTTAAACGTCTGGATTTGAGATTTAATGCACAGCTTTGCAGGTGAAATAAACCACTGCTCTTTTATAGCTGTGTACTATAGCATCAGCCTCAAGCTGACATCCATCTAATTTTAGTCTAGTCTTGGCGTTCCTGCGTTCCCTCAGACTGTGGCTTTTCAGAGAAGGGACTAATTTGATGTTTCTATTATAGTCTTTTAAATAGCACTTTTCAGGCTCGAGTCAGTCAGTCTGGAGTCAGAAAGCTGCTTCTCGGTTCATATCGGCCGTGGCTCAGCTTAACCTCTCAGATTTGCTAATGTGTTTTAGGTGGGATCAACGTCTGAGGAAATATGTGGAGACTCCCTAGTTTGAAGAGGTTTGCTAAGTGACTTTGCCTTTTAAGTCTTGAGATGGAGCGAAAGGATTAACCCAGTTAGCAAATTAAACCACACTGCTTTCTTCTTTCACGCCCATTACAATATTTGTTTACTAATTTGGGATTTAAGGCATGTTTTTCTACCCCCTCAGTGAGGTTTATTCCTGACGTGTTTGTCATTTTTCTGAACCTGAAGGTCAGTTCGTACGTAGGATTCTCATGTTTTTGAATAGTTTAAATAGTTGAGATTCTGCTGGTTTATATAAATGCACCAAGTTGCAAAAAAAACAGCATTTATTAGTGGATCAAGATGTCATACTATGCCTTTTGCTGTTTTATGCATTAAATGCTACTACTTTAGAGTCAAATACCATGCTTTTTTGGATTTTGCATGATGCATTAATAAAGCACGGAATGCATTTTATCTCCGTCTTGACTCTGAAAGTAGGAAATGCGTCAGCGAGTCATTGGAATGTTTTTCATTGCGTCTCGCCCATAATGGACTAGGCATGTAGCTTCTGAGTATTTGCCAGAGAACATGCCCTGAGAATAAAAATAGGCTCGATTCCGCCCAGTCAAACGCTCCTAATTGCACAAACTTTTCACATTTCTCTGTCTGAGAGCGACACCAGTCTCTGATCGTATCTCGCACGGCCATTCATAACAGCTGAGCTCGTCTTGTTCCCACAAAGAGCATCAGAGATGCCTTCTCAGACGTCATGTCTGTCTGCAATCTAGATCTCTGCATCTGCATTTCTTTTCGCGAGTCTGTAGTTCATTGTTCGATTGTGATCCCGGGAAGGAAGTTGGGAACAGCGATTAAGCCGAAACGTCTTTTGCATCATTTGACTTTCCTGAAAGCCACAGGCATACGAGAAATGTGCCAGAGCCTGTTTTATTAACCATAAATGGAGTCAAACGCAGGCAGGTCAGCAATCAGACCACACTGAGCAGTCATCTGCAATAATTGACTGTTGTCACTGCGTGCATGTTTTGTACTTGGCCTAAAGCCTGTGGCACAGTCAGCCTTTGAATGCATAATCACATTGGACTGTGTACTAGGGGTGTGCGATATTGACAAAAAATATATATCTCCATATTTTCTGGGATAATTAGACTGTTTTGCTGAGTGTGATATTGTGCTGATATCTCGACTCCTAAAGTTTTTGATATTCTTCATATTCTGTGTGGTGGTTCACGACAGTGACAGAAATAATATTTTCCAATCAGTTAAAATTGATTCTTACCTTTTTATGGGCATTTTTACCTGTATAAAGCCATTTTTTTCTAAAAGTGTGTTCTTTTTTTTTTATTTTTATTTTTTTTTTTTTTAGTCAAGCCAATTTATTCAGTCAATTAGAATAATAAGACATTTGGGGCCAGTTTTACTAACAGCTTGCAGCAGCGCAAACCGTCTTTTGGTGTTAAAATTGTACTTTAATTTTTTACTAAAGGCACGCAGTGAAGAATTAGTGCTGATTCGTTCTTTTTGAGCCACACGTATTAATTTATTTTGAATGCCAGAAGAATACATTATCCAAACATATCATTTGCCAGGCCATGTTATTTTTAATTTGAAAATGAAAAAAACGAAATAAAAGACGACTTGGAATACCAGGTCTATCAAAACTTCTAGCAAACCTTCATTTTTGGCCTCCGGTTCTTTTCAGTGTACTGTGGCTTCTTTATTTCTTAATTCTTTATTTGCGACTATGCTAGTTTCCACTGCATGTGGTATATTGCATTGGTCGATATGTAAATTAGATGTTGCGTCTGTGTTTTTTAATGTGCGCGTTGTTAGTAAATCACACGCAAAAAATGTCCTCGCCCATCGGTGCTGTTTTGGAATTGCGCTCTCGCTCTAATTTGCCCTTTTTAGTATAATTGGCCCTTGGACTGTTACAAGGCAAATTAATTCAGTACAAACAAAATTGATTTACACACGGTTTAAAGCACGACATGAATGCATTTAACTTGCAGCTACAAATGCATAAATAATGTTTTGATATTTTAAATTATCTAAAAATTGAAAAGATACTTTGTGAAATTAAAACCGCCAGTAGGTGGCTTACACACGGTTTAAAGCACGACATGAATGCATTTAACTTGCAGCTACAAATGCATAAATAATGTTTTGATATTTTAAATTATCTAAAAAATGAAAAGATACTTTGTGAAATTAAAACCACCAGTAGGTGGCAGCAAGTCACTGTTAATAAGTGAGCCATTGCGATTGAACCGAATCGTTTTAACGGTTGATTTATTAAGGAACCAAACGCCGTTATTAAAACCGCCAGTAGGTGGCAGCAAGTCACTGTTAATAAGTGAGCCAATCGTTTTAACGGTTGATTTATTAAGGAACCAAACGCCGTCGTCGTCATGTTGCTCAGAGACGCAGAACAGTGCTGTGGCTG